ACTTCTCCTGCCTGCTCTGAGGGACAGAAACTGAAAGAGGTTGTAATAAAAACCAAACACCAAATGCTGTTGTCTACCCACAACTACCACTCTGTCACCTAAATATGAGTGCTTCTGCTAAGAAATTACATAACCCGTGCAATGCAAAGCATACCTTTGAGGTGGCAGTGAACAAGTGGTAGCAAGGGCTGCCATTGAGCACTGAAAACCACTGTTATCTGCAGCATTTGACCAGCCCCACTGTTGGGACCAAGATGCCAAAGAGGTACTAGCCACGAAGTCTTTGCAGTCATCATCAAGCACCAGTTGAATGCTCATGTGTGTTCCTATACAAGAAAATACACCAGCCTAAGGCAGCTTGGGAGGCACTTAAGACTAATAATGCTAATAAATAAAACTAATAAAAAGGATGAATACCTAAGCAAGGAGCAACCACCAAAGAGCAGCCACATCTGTTGCCAGAGTGAATCACCTAAGGAGTGGTGGCTAACCAACCCAGATGAGCTGCAGCACAAGGTTGCAGCCCCGTTTCTGCAGTGTAAGAGAGCTCCTTCCCATGTTCAGCAGGGAGGAAACAGCGTTCACTTGGCTCCAAGGCTGCTCTGGGAAAGATCAGTAATAAGCAGCTTGGTTATCTCTGCAAGGCTTTTGCATGCATGGCAGAATTTCCCTTGCCTTGGATCCCTTAAGGGACCTTAAACAGCCTTTGAAACGTGATACATTGCACCCAACTGATAAAGAAGTTTAATACTTTTGCTTCTTTTCTCACACAAGAGATCTCAGGTTTATAATCTGCTATTATTTAGGGCAATAAATTGTTATTTATCATTTACTCAAAGCCAGGAACAAAATTTCCAGGCAGGAGAAACTGAACTACCTTGTTAAAAGGTGAGCTATGGGGAGCTTCTATCCAAGAAAGCTCTGAAATGGGAACATAGAATCATAGACTAGTTAGGGTTGGAAAGGACCTTAAGATCATCTAGTTCCAACCCCAGTGGCTAATCTGTTGTATGGGAATCTGTACAATCCACTTGTTGCTCTGCAGATCAGCTCCTTCAGGTTTTAATCCAGACCATTCTTTCTTCGGCTATGAAACCCTGATGGTGGCACACAAGCACATAGAGTTTGGCTGGAGTCGATGAGGGCTGTGGTTGCAACAAGCCTGTTTGAAGGAGCCTTGGACACCGGTTGCAAAACTCAGCTCCTTAATCAGATTTTGAGCACTTCAAAGAGGCTTCAAATCTCAGGTTTGGGTCCAGCTCCCTGACTTTGGAATCTGGATGCACCCCAAGTGCTTGGAGGCAAGCGGGTTTCCAAACCATTTCTAATTTCAACTGATTAAGAAAGGGAAAGGCATCTCAGAAAACATTTCAGGCTTGCTCCAAAGAAGACTTTGAAATTCTTTCAGCAAAAACTTTGAAATCCTTTCAGCTCTGAAAGGCTTTTGAGCACCCAAGTGAACCTTTTCCGAGTGGATTTTCATGTGATTCCACTACAAGGTAACTCAATTCCCTTTCCTGCCTGAAAACCACACAAGTCTGCATAATGCAAGGGATAATTACAGAGATGGAAGCCACCAATTAGATTATCCCTTCCACCCACCTGCCAGTGCAGGATTGTTCCCTGCAGTATACACTGAAACGCAATATGTCTGAGGTGTTGCAACTGAGCCATCAACTGCTGTCTTCCTTCCAGCGTGCTTTGAGCAAGCACCAGACCTGGGGGAAAGGGTGGAGGGAAAGGACTTTTTGTCTATATGATGCAAAACTATCCATTTTTGAGGACAAAAAACAAGCAAGCTGGAGAGGGGCTTGTAGGGATGTAGGGACAGGACAAACGGAATGGCTTGAACCTGCCAGAGGGGAGACTGAGCTGAGCTCTTAGGCAGAAGCTCTTCCCTGTGAGGGTGCTGAGGCGCTGGCACAGGGTGCCCAGAGAAGCTGTGGCTGCCCCATCCCTGGCAGTGTTCAAGGCCAGGTTGGACACAGGGGCTTGGAGCAAGCTGCTCCAGTGGAAGGGGTCCCTGCCCATGGCAGGGGTTGGAGCTGGAGGAGCTTTAAGGTCCCTTCCAACACAAACAATTATATGATGACCAAAGTTGTTAATGGTGTCTCCTCCCCTCTGCACCCCATTGAAGGCAGAAAGCAGGACTGGAAAGATGCTGGAGATGCCCAAACCAAAGTCTCTTGGACTGTGCTGATCAGGGTGTGCTCTGTAACACCCTGTGAGCTGATCCCTGCACCCACACTTATGGCCAGAATAAGGCCAAAGAGGGAATAGACAGGTGGCGGAAGAAGAGAGAAAAGGAACTGAGGGACCACTACTAAAAAATCCCTTTTTGATTGCATTTGCCATAAAAGGCCTTAACAATTAGCCTAGTAAGAAGCAGGAGGATCTCCCCCCAGAAGAAATTAATGTGCACAAGGATAAAGTGTTAAAATGCCTCTGGGACTCTACTTATAAAAACCTGCTTGCATGCAAGTGTTTTACTTAGCAGAGTAAGCACGAGCCACATTTTCGCCTGCCCTCACTAACATCATCCCTTTTGTGTTCCTTCTTTCTCATCCCTGTCATTAGGTGCTATCTGCAGCCCCACGGCTGGCTGGAACAGAGCCACTGCGTTTAAAATACATTTAGATGTCATCTTCATGAGAGAATAGTTGTGAAGGGAAAAAGGCATCCACGGGAGGAGAAGGTTAGGGAATCACAGAATGGCTTGGGTTGGAAGCGCCCTTAAAGCTCATCTAGTTCCAATCTCCCTGCAATGAGCAGGGATACCTTCCACTAGACCATATTGCTCAGATCCACATCTAGCCAGATCCCCTCCCTCTCCCTGCTCCCCTTAGAAACCACAGATCCGATCCACAAACACATTGTGTGCATTTTACACTTATTTCCTCTGCTATTTCCATGCAGAAATGGGGATGCTATGGCTTGTGTTACTCATGCCAATTCAGAGATACTAGGCATCTTCTCAAGAGCCTGCAGATGGACTGTGATGAAAATGAGCGTAACTACACATGACCTTAAAACTTGGCCTGAGAGATGCCTGCAGCTCAGCACAGGACTATCTCACCCTCCTCCCCTCCCACAGCCATCATCGTCTCGAACATCAGGAGCATTTCTTGACAGGTTCCTTTTGAAAGCCATCCCCTCCTGCCTTAATATCTCGGGCCTTTAAATCCTCACTCAATCTCACTTCCTTTGGACCCTCGCCTGGCAGGCTCACAATCACTGCTGTCGCCCAGCTCAGGATAAACGGATGCCTGCAATACACATTTTCCTATCCTCAGAAGGGAAAAGAAAACAACACATCGGTCAAGAGCTTGACACAGTTTTCATCCTTAGCTGGGATAAAAAAGGCAGAAATCTGTGATGAAATTAAATTAGATGAAGAAGCAGCCATGCCTCTCTCTTGAAAGGATTTCAGCTCATGGAAAATGTTTAGCTTGGCAAATCTGGAATGGATTCGGTTTGGTTTTGACACAGTCTGTTGATTTCACACAATTCCTATAAAATTAATTTCCAAATGACCTCCACAGTTCTTTTCATTGCAAAGCATACAACAAAGAGGCCTTTTTCGAGACACAAATTTGTCAAAATCCATACAAATCTACAAAAACACAGCTCCCACTCAAATTACATTTTCCCTCAGAAGCCCTGGTTTGAACACACACTTTTTCCCTACAGTCCTCAGTGACTCATAAACATCTTCACTTGCTAATCACTGCTCCACCACTGGGCTGGCAATGAGCATCAGCCTGGTGTTCCCACCACAAAGCTGCCAGACAAGTGCTGTTGTAGAGCAGTCAAGCCAGTGGTTTTGGAGGATACAAAACTAAAACTGGCCTGAAACATCAGACAACAAAAAGGAAACACTTGTCTCACTCAACTGTCTTCATCTCCTGATGAGTTCCAGCAGTTAAATGGTGATATATTGTGTACAGACTTGCAGTTCCAGATTAAATGGCCATTGCCAAAACGATAGCTTATGAAGTCTCCCCCCACAAATACTTCGTACAATCAAAGAAATCCAAAGAGTATTTTTTCTGCATTTGGGTTGCTTACTTCATTTTCACTACAACAAAGCCTTCCATCCACTGAACCAAAGCAGTCCAATTACCACTATATCTAACAAGAGTTAGAATGAAAACACCCTACAAAAGGGCAGGCACATGCTCCTTGCAACTGGACTGTCCAAGTCTCCACCATAAAGTAACGCTAAGAGCAAAGATGAGTTATGAGAACTACGTAAGGAAAGCCTAGCCAGCAGACAGCAACTAATGAGACATCTTGAAAACCACAGCTATTTGGCTGTGAAAGGGTCTGCTGCCCACCTAGAGATGATCAGACTGCTGAAACATGGAAATGGTTTGTCTTGGGTGGAATTAAATAGATCATGGAAGAGACAAGCATGTCTGCTGCCTGTGAAAGGGGACAGGGCCATACCCAGTGGAGGCTGGTTAAGATGACCTTAAATCACTAGTATTAATGAGATGAAGAAATTCCTCTGTAGAGACAAAAAACACAAACACACCTGGATTTTTTAAATACAACAGAAAAAAAAAAAACTAAAAAGTAACCTTTGTAGTTATCAGGGCTTTTTTAATGCTAAGAGTGCGAGTCGTAATGGAGTCAACACTTGCCTACTTAGAGGAGCCTTACAGTAGAGTAACAACTCATCACATCAGCAGTGACTGCAGGAAATGACTTGGAGAGTATCAACACAGCATAAAGCATCTGCTTGATCATTATAAGCTGTTGTGGAGGTGTGGGGGATTTCCAAAGGTATCTTGTGCCTGCCTGTATAATGCAAGGGATTGCAGCCCTTTTTTTTGACCGCAGCCATCGCTTAGGTATCTATAGACCATGCCATGTGCTAGAGTTACACTTGACCTGCACGCATATGGATATTTGCCTCTCATCCATACATGTTCCCCTCTTCCCCTTCCCTCTTTAGGGCTCAGAGCACAGTCAGCACCCACTGCAGAAACCCTCACCTGTCCTGGGTCCCGTGCGACCCCACTTTTTCATTCTTCATGCAGAAATCAGGCGAGCTCTGCAGGTAAATCAGCTCTGTCTCTTTAACCGGCCTGATATCAATATCCTTTGGCACGAGGTATTTGCGTGTGCCCATGGGGCGGTGAACGACCTTGGTGGCTGATAGATACTTGTTTTTGAGGTCCAATGCAATGTCTCGCAGCTCTTGAAGGCCTTTCCAACAGGTCTTGATAGAGCATGACCCAGAAACTCCATGGCACTTACATTTCATTTCAAGAGAGGCTTTCAAGACCTGCAAAAAGGAATGCAGGAGTTAGGAAATGCCCTTCTCTTACCTCCAAACAACTCATAAGCTTGCTAAAGAAAGCGCTTTCTTAGTAGGGTGTGCTATAGAAAAGGAATGCTGCTCTGATTTCTGCACAGTCACTCTAGAGTAGCTCCTGTGCAAAGGGAATGAGATACCAAACAACTCCTTGGTGATCACTATCATGGGATCGTGGAATAGTTAGGGTTATCGCAATACTGCTTTCACCAAGGTACTTTTGCAGCCACCAGACAGAAAAGCATTTTGTGTTTTGATCAGATATCTACAAAAGGGCTGCATTTTCCCCCCCTCTAAATTCCTAAGGAGCTGGAAATCAAAGCAATCCATTAAATATGCTATTAAACACCCATTTCTGCCCCCAGCAGCCCTTTGGGCAAAAGATGTTAAGGCTCAGATGAATTCAGGGCATTCTCACCCCTGCCTTTCTTCTGGCTACGGGGCCAGAAGAGCCTTTTACTTAGGTTCTGCACTGGTTTAATTGCAGTGGGACACTGGTAAGAAGGGCTGAATCCAGCAGCCATGGCAATGCTATGTCCCAAAAGAAGATTTTCCCATTGAAATCAAAACAAAAGCTTAAAACATTATGAAAAAATAAATCAGATAAAGTGGGAACAGTAAACACCCAGAGGAGGCAGGTTTGGCATGGCTGTGCTCTGCAAAGGTGAGTTCAGCCTGTAGCTACACAGGAAGCTGCCAATGAGCTTAGCATGCTCCAAGGTTTATCCTCTCCAGTGCCCTAGAAAGGTCCAAGCTGTGTGGTAGGACCAGCCTTGGGAACCACACTGCATCCCCAGAGATGGGTGCAGGGCTCAGCTTTACAGCCCCCTACTCATTTCTCCACTGTGTGGAGGGCTGAGATAGGGATTTACACCTCGGTGCACACCAAGCACTGCACATGGTAAGCATTATCCCTCTGCTGGATGCAAGCTGTTAAAAGCAGCTTCTGCCAGATATGGGAATAATCACTAGCAAAGCAGTTTGGAAAGGAAGACTCATCCCTCCTGGCTGCATGGGATGGCTGGGAGGGAGGCAGCTGCTGCTGGATGCATCTGGCAGATGATAATCCTCCACGCTTACACAGCACTTTGCCTGTGCAACGCCCTTGGCAGAGCATGACGGGACCCATCCCCACCACACCTCCTGGGGTATAAGCAAGCCAGAGCCATCCTTGGCTGTGGAGAGGGTGGCAATGAGACATCCCACCCATGGTTCTATATTATAGGGCTGATAACAGCATTCAGGACCTCCTGAGTCCCAGTGGGGGTTATAGCACCACAGTCTTCAGCAGGCCAAAGGAGTTCAGAGCAATGTGGGAGAAGCCTGCTCCTTTGCTAGCTGATAGAGACACTGAACCTAACAGCAACCGACCACTACGGATGATTGTACAAGTACAATAACTCTCGTGGATTTGTTACCTGTCTCCCTACTTCACTGTTGTGCAGATGCATCAGTTTATTGGCTTGTGATCCTGATTTTTTCATCTTCATGGGAGCATCTGAAAATTTGGACCCCATGATAAGACCATAGTTGAGGTTGTCTGCACATCCTCCCCATCGATACCCAGGTCCAGGTGTCTCACCTGGGATGGGACCACAGGAACAGCCAGGGAGGTCCCCGGTGGTGCAGGCTCTGGCAATGGTGTGGCTGATGGCAGCAGCAGAAAGGGCATACACAAATGCTGACTCCCTTGTGCCTGGAAGAGACAAGAATTCCAGCTCAGCATCCTGGGAAAGCAAGTCCCCTAACAAGTGATCCACACAATCTGTGCCCCATAAAGTAGCAAACAAACCAAGTCACAGCAGCTGAAACCTCTCATGGTGTCATTAACCTGAAGCATCACCTAAGTGAGCTCTTCAACATCATGCAACATCCCAACAGGACAAGGAGGCACATATAACTTGTCCGTCATGGTGTGATCTATTCTTGGAGCCTTTCCATGGACTCTCCTGCCTCCTTTTGTCACTGTGATGGATGCTGCTTGCCAGCAGGTCATGAAGCTAGCATGGGAGGCCACAGAGCTGCAGCATAAGCATGCAAGGATGCTCTGACCCATGAGATCTGACTGTGCAGCCTGCTGCTTGACAAGCCTGCATGCTCTGAGCAGCAGTTCCACTGCTGTAGGCAAGTGCACCATGACTCCTAATGAGATGAGTAGACCAGGATGGGGGCATGCTCTGTGGAAGACTTTGGACTGGAGACCACATGGGCATGACTGGCCCCATAACAATAAACATGGTCTCAGAGAACAGGACAACGAGGCTATGGAGTTCCTCAACATCCCCTTGGTAGCAAGACGCTTCCTGCCCCAGCACACATACACACGGTCACCGACTGACTCTACTCACTCATGTCCCTGGCTGACAGCAGTGCTGTTTACCTCTCTCTAAGTCCAGCAGGTAGTTAGGAGCCAGCTCAATGGAAGAGCAGTTCCACCTCATGTCCGAGAAGGTTTTACGGCAGGTCTTTATCACTTCCCGTGCCGCCTGGATGATGGTCTGCATTAGCTCCAGGTTGCTGCGGCACAGTTGTACCTGGGAAACCACCAAGCCTTCGAGCTGCTTGCAGTGCTGGGTTTGATTCAGGGCCAGAGCTGAAGGAGTCTTGGACAAGGCTCTGAGGAGGAAAACACATGCAAAAAGGCATTAAAACCTGCAAAAAATCCCAGTTAATCTTCAGGTCAATGTGAATTTCTCCATCACCTCCAGTCTAGTGAACTACAAATTAAGTTAATCTGGCTTCATTTTAGCTACCTGTAAATAGGTGCTTAGTTTAAGCTGGATAAGAAAGATAGGCAACTATGAAGAGTGATTTATCTCATCTAAAGTAGGTGTTTAAGGTAAGTGGGAAGAAACATCCTCTAGAAGTGCACTCTCCATCATCTCGGAGAGCCTGGACAAAGCTCCTGGGGCACATGCCAACTTGATTGAATGTGTAAATCCTTATGGGAAGGGTTTTTGCTGAAGACTGAAGAGGACAGACCCCCCAACAGAGTGAAAAATGACCCATCATTCCCACGATAACAGAAAGCTGGATCTTCCAAGACTGTGGCATTCAGAGGGGGGAGAGAAAGTGAAGTTGGTGTTATCAGCGTTTTGCATTCAGCATCTGTCTCACTCACTCTCTGAGGATTATACTAAATGTCATGTAATTAATTATGGAGAAAATCCCCTGCAAGGCCCAGGGAAAAGCCACCACATTTGCAAAACAGATGCTTTCCCTTAGCATTAACGCCAAGGGCCTTCACCAAATCCATCACTGCTGCATGTAGATAACTCTGTTTCTGTAGGCTCCAAAAACGTAGTGCGGAAGCACAATGAGAGTATGTGCAGGGAAAGCACATACTGAGGAGGGATCCGCCAGCACCAGGGAAGAAACCAACAGCACCCTAAAGACCTCACTGGTTCTTCTAGTGCGTAATTGCCAATGTTTCCAAGTGAAAAAAAAAACAGCAAATGCTGCCATGCATGGAATCATAAAATCATAGAATGGTTTGGGTTGGAAAGGACCTTAAGCTCATCCCGTTCCAACCCCCTGCCATGGGCAGGGACACCTCACGCTAAACCATGACACTCAAGGCTCTGTCCAACCTGGCCTTGAACACTGCCAGGGATGGAGCATTTACCACTCGTGCTCTTCTTCCCCAAGCACCCACAGCAAGCAGCAGAAGCCTGGTGTGTAACTCTCTTTGTATCTTTATGACCTGCTTAGGGTAGTCATAAATGTTATTCATTCCCATAAAACAACTTTCTAGCTGGCTGCATCAGTAACTGGCATCTGATCCTGGCAACACAAGTGCCTTAACACATATTTCCTTCTCTCCTTGTTAAATGTGTTGCCTTTCAGTTTCATCCTAAGCCATCTTGGTTAGTTTGGCTTATTAGCAGACACATTTCTGGGTGCATTTCACTTTATTACTGTAACATCCACATCCTTCAGAAGTTAAATGAGATGGAAACGGAGCTAAAATTGAGCCCTAACCAAGACTGTGGGTATTAGTTCTGATCTCCGGTTTTCAGGAAAACACATCTATGTTCCACCAGCTCCCTCAGGCTTGGCTTGAACCAGCTGCTGTGTATGTTGGAGCTCTCTCTGGGCTGTACATAACTGCTAACCCCAACCACTATTCCAGCTGGGAAAAGCTATGATCCTTGCTAGGGTCTGACTAGGTCTGCACTGACAAATTCCCAGGTGGCTGGAGTTTGGCTTTGCTGGCACCAGATGATCAGGTACAAACTTGGAAGGGAAACAACCACTCTGCTAGCTATGCAAATATATACATCATACATGTATTTAAAGAGGTCCATTAAATGTACAGCGAGCAGAAGTTTTGGCCAGTGAGTTTTAAGGGGAAGGGAAAGGGGAGTATTTAGTTGCCCTGTAGTTCATCTCAGTCCCTTGCCCACTGTTGTCCATGCAATGCTCCCTTATCTGAAGAGGGGCACCTTCAGAAGGCAACTCATCCTGACTTAGTTGTGACCCAGTGCTGGACCTGAGCTCATGCAGACGAAACCTACTTGTGACATTCTGGATGCTCAGGTATCTCAGATATATCATGTCCTTCAAGGTAGAGCCATAAGTCTTTGGACAATGTGAATATCACCTAGCTGGAACTCTATGGTTTGGACCTCATGGTAGTCCTTCAGGGTCCTCCTTTAGCCCATGGAAAGGAAAAGCCACATCTAGAGAGAGATTAACTTGACGTGCTTTGAAGATCTACAATAGGATAACATCATGCCCTAGAAGTGCTCATTTCTGCACTATAAAGGGAACCCCGGCATCGAGCTCAGATGCAGACATCTGGACTGCATAAGCGCAGAGCTGGGTGAGATGTGCCCAACCGCTAGCACTTGGCACCAGCAACCTGTGAAAACTTATCCCAGAAAGCCTATCAGCAACCCTCAGGAATGGGCTGAAACACAAATCAGACAAGAGGCCAAAGCAGCTCACCACCAATAGAGTTAAAATGACAAATACTTCAGCACAGCTTGTCCCTGCAGCAAAACAAGCAGGCAGGGGAAGGCAGCAAAATGAGAGATCTTCACATTCTGAGCTCCAGGTACATGAGGAATGCTTTGAGAGATGCTGCACTACAGGGCACCAGCTCAGTTTTCTAATCAGAGGTACCAAGTGATGCTTTAGAGGCCTTGGGATGTTTCTCTTAGTTCCTGCACCACATTTTCTAGTCCTGTATAGATGTCTTCAGCATCTTTAAAGGACCTTGAGGCCTACATTGAGGCACCTGGATCTCATCATTACAGACAAGTCTGGAACACCAGAAATAACCACTGGCAGGATGGAATGAGAGCTGAATTCAGACTGAAACTCATCCCCATTGTGATAAAAGGGGACGTGATACAACAAGATCATGTTATTACAGGTGGCCTGAAATGATCACCATTACAGAAGCAGATACATAATGCAACAAGAAAGAAATTTGCTTCGTGGAAGAGGGAAAACATCTGCCAGACAGTAAAAAGAGGAAGGACCATGGCCCCATTGAGGAGAGCTCACTAAATGGCAACAGTGGCTTTTTCCATTGAATGAACTGAGCTCCAGGGACCCCACCAGGAACAAAGATCCAAGAGGCAGAAAGGTGTTTTCTGAACATCTCCCAGGCCTGACCTTCGTGCCTTTGCTTGTGAGAACCTATAACTGGAAACATCTCCAAGCGTCGGGAGGAAAAAGTAAAGGGTAATGGAGATGGAAAAGAAAACTCACAGTTACTGCAGTTGCTTTCCAAGCCCAAAAAGTGCATCAATAAATCACGGATCAGGAATGCGAGGGGCCTATTAGGTCATCTAGTCCATGCCCTGACAGCACAGGTTTGCTCAGTCTCCGTCCTGCACTCAGAAACGTCTTCTCCACCCATTGCCGGTCCAAACCCTCCCCATGGAAAGGCACCAACCCTCCCTGCTCCCCACATTCTGGCAGCACCATGGACGGATGCCCACTGCCCACAAAGGATACTGATGGGAAGCAAAGTCCATTTGTGGGGCAGAGAAAAGGAAATCATCTTCCCCCAGAAAAGGCTTGTCCATGGTGGGATTTGGTGGTTTCTATCCCATCTCTATCCAGTCTTCATTGACCACCATTAATGGGAGTGGAACTGGAGCCGATGGGCCACAGTCAGCTTGAATAAAGCAGCCCTCAAGGGCATAGTCTGCAGAATAGCCTTTAGTCCTACATCTGGTGGCAAAAACCTGTTAAATACCTTTATCTGGACTCACATTTTGCCTGCCACCACTCTATAAATGCTGGTTTTCACTGTTTCCTCTTCCTAATGTCATGCTCTCCTCCCTTGATTCTCCTGCCCCATCTTTCATTCTCCAGAAAGCTGAGGACACTGGAGGGGATGATTGGGCTTTTTTATACGTACATATTTGACCCATCCCTTAAAATAAACAGCCCCCAAGCCAAACATCTCCTGCTTTATATATAGCATAGCAGAGCTTCCAACTGAAGTTATGGGTACTGACAGCAAATCATAAACGTAATTACAGAGGAAACATGATGCACGGATGGATCATGACTTTCATTTACTCTTTTAATTATCTCAGCAAGCTAATAAATTCATTCCGAAACATGAATGCTCCACAGTGTTAGGTCCTTTGAGAAGTATGGGCCCATTCCTGCAGATGTGAGGGGACTATTCATAGGAGAAACATCTTGGGATAAGTACCTTCAGATCTGAGCAGATATCAGTAAAAGCCATACATTATTCGGTTTGCAAGGACCACCGTGAGCACAAAACTGCTCCTGGCCAAGCCAAACAGAGGAAGAACTCATTGAATTGAGCAGTGAAGCACTGATGCCCTTTAAACCACCCTTAAAGGGTGGAAGGACCTTCTCTCTTTCTGATGTGGGCTCTCTCTGGAGGGCATCGTGCTTTCCTCCCTTATGTGATGTGACCCAAGAAAGGCCTCACACAAGGACTGTTAGTGAAACCACGAACTTCTCCTCCAAATTGTCCACTTTGTTTTCTGCGAAGGCACTCTTATGCTTAAACAGCTCGATCTCGCAGAGATTTGAGTGGGAAAAGAAAGATTTAAGCACAGTGAATTGTACAGTAAACTGTAATAAAGAGAGGCAGAGATTGAGTCTGTGGGTTTTTCACATTCAATCTCATTGAGGGATTTTAGTCTGCAGAAGCCTCATTCCCCCAGGTTTTCAACTGGAAAAGCCTTGCAGAACTGCTACAATAACCTTGTCCTGGTGACTGGAGGAGGCCCATGCTCCTACTGCCCTGCCCTGCGTTAGTTCTGGTATCGGGACCAACAAGCGCTGGAAAAGCCACCACATCCCACTGGTTCTGCAAAGAGTTTTTAAACAGAACAGCAAGATTTATATAGAAAAAAGAGGGGGAAGGGGGGAAGAAATGAGGAGGAGGCGGGGGGAACCAACCCAGAAGTAAAACCTTAAAATAAGAGCTGCTTTCAGACACGGTGCCAAATGCAGCGCTGGCAGCAGCGGGCACAGGGCTGTTGACTTCCCCCCGAGCTCCACTGAAGTGGATGCCAGCGGCGCGTTGGCTCCCCGAGCACTGGGGAAGGCCATGGAGCTTTGTCAAGTTTTCCCGAGCGAAGAGCAAACTTCAAAGCCGTTGTGTGTGTGTGTCCCCCCCTCTTTCCCTCGCTCCCCGTCCTGCAGTCCTTTCACAGCAGCTCATCTAGCAGCCCCTTTGCCAGGCAGACGGGCTCCTCGCAGGCGCCCGTGCCCCCATGTCCCAGCTCCCCCCTTCCCTGGTTAAAGGAGAGAAGCAGACGGTGCCGGGAAGCACAAACCCTTTCCATTCCCTCCCTCCTTGCTTTCTGCTGGCTGCAGAGAGGTGATGCTCGGAGCTGGGGGATATCCTGGGTTCACCAAAGTGATCCTGAAGTGCAGTGATTTAACCACGTGCAGCAAAGCTGGGCTGGCTCCAGAGGGCATGGGGCATGTCCAGGGCACCACAACAAGGGCTTCTCTCGAAGTGGCCAAGCTCCATGCATAAATGATGGGGTTCCTAATGCCATCAGTTGCTGTTGTGGGCTGATCCCCAAAGCCACACAACCACTTGCTCCAATGGGCTTCTTTACAACCGCTGTTGAAGGTGGATGATACTCAATACAGGGGGACAGTCCAACCTGTGTCCTGAACAGAGGAGATGCCAACCCCTAAGGAGACAGAAGTGTCTCAAAAACGACTTGGTGCCTGGACATCCCAACATCTGCAGACCTCTGGCATGCACATCTGGCTGCAGCTCCCTCTAGTGCTCATCTGTTTTTCAGCTCTACCCAAAAACGTTGCTTTGGCAACCTGCTTGGCCAAACTCAAGCTCCCCTAGCTAAAGGGGGTGCAAAGGGAGGTGGTAGTGTGACAAGAGTCCCTACAGGCATTGACACTAAGACATATCCCCTTGAAACCGATGGCTGCCTCACCTTCCTGTGCAAAACAATCCTTGAGGACCATGAAGTGATGAAACAAAACCCTGCCCAAGGATGGAAAATTGGCTGCAGAATGCAGCATGCAAAAATAAGACTTAGGGTCTTATATGCATTGAATTGAAAGGCTGCCTCTTCATGACAGCCCTGATCCTGCAAAGATCTGCCCACAGTCCATTAGTTCCCTGGATTTCAGATGGAAGAGGCCAAAATGCAATCTCTCCAGTAGCAAGAGCACGTTTATGAGCTGCTAACCATCCATGCACCAGGCTGGATACTCAACAGTGCATCTGTGGCAGGGAAGGGCACGGTGGCGATTCACAACCATGGGGGTCTGGACCATAGAACTCGTAAAACTAAGCCAACTAAAACAAAACAAATAACTCCCTTTTAGCTTCTCCCTGCTTCTACTAATTTATGGGGGGTAATTGTGTTACAGGGAAGCACTAAACAGCTGAACAGAGTGTTTTTCTTCTTCCTGCAATTACATCACACCCTGCATCGAAATTGGATTTCCTATCGCCTCTCATATCAGTCACTCCCTCTTCCCCAGGCTGGCAAAACCCACCCCCTTATCTTCCCCTTTCCCTCCCAAGCCCTCTTTGAAGCTCTCCCTGGCACCATGCCTACAACAACATCGCAGCGGGCAGACTGCTGAGACAAGCCTAAGACTGAAAACATCTCGTAGCACTTTCCTCCCTCTTCCTCCCGTCCCTTTTCCCCCCTCTTTCTCTATTCATGAGCATTGGAAAGGGCAGGGTTTGATTGTGCAGCACCCAGCATGTGAGTCCAGGTCTGTGATTGCAGCTCTGAGGTACTACTTCAGTAGCATCAATCTCTGTTTCATAAGAGTTTACCCATGGGGTTTCCAAGGATGGCACCCTACCCCCAGTGGTGGCAGGCAAAAGAGAGTGATGGGGAGGAGGGGAAAATTGGCCCATGTTTCCATAGAAAAACAAGGGTGGAGAAGTGAGGAAAAACAGCAAATGAAAGCAAAAGAAAAACCCCTATAATTCAGTGAGATCCCAACTGGCAGCATCCCAGTGGTGAAGTGCCCTGGGACAGGGAGTGCAGGTCCCTGCCAGGCTTTAAACAGGTGTGAGTGGAGCACATCTGGATGCAGTTCGTGCTTCAAATGCCACTTTAATCCTGGCTTTCATCTTCCCCACTCGCTCTGCGATAGGGGGGATATGTCTGCTGGGAAGGGGAGGAGCAGCAACTGCAGCGTCTTTCCTCCAACTGCTTCTCCCCCGTCCCCAAAAGCAACTCTTGCACTTAACCACTTACCAGCCAAAAAGCTGCTTTGGCCAGCAAAGTAATGGGGACCTTGTGCTGCTTTCCAACCTGTTTTTCATGTCTATGGCTTGTCACAATGCTATCAGGTTCCCTCTGAAGCTCGTCTCACCTCTGCCCTTTGGGGAAACTCAGGCTCTTTGCTCGGGATTAAGCATCTTGCTTATGTGGGACCCTAATGGCAAGTGTTTGAGAGAGCCCCTCCACTGATGTATGGGTCTGTACGTAAGTGCCCTGAGGAATCAGGGTGCCACAAACCAGCTTGATTACTGTGTTGCATAGAAATAAAGGTTCTGAGTGAGTCTGCCAGCTCATGGGCATGGTGATAAATGACCTGCAGAGAGGAGATGCCCACCCTGTGCAAGGTGCTGGATGTATATATATCTATCGCATATTTTAGACAGATGATAGATAGATACATAGATAGATGCAGAGCTGAGAGCCTAAATACTTAAGGAAGCCGACAGAAAGAAATAGCTGGGTTGTGTAATTTAGCCATGGTCACTACTACAAGGTGTAAAGCTAAGACAGTGAAGAGCAAATCAGATCCTGACTCTCCTGTGCTTCCAACATGATCCTTAGAGTATGGAGACAGCAAGTGAAAGATGCTCTAAAGTAGGCTGCCTATTCCTCCCCTCCAATCATGTGCATTTAAGCACTCTACAGAGGGATTCACCCTGCTTCTCTTTACAGATATAATTGTGGTCTCAAGCAGCTCCCTGCATCTCTTGACAGTTGTGCTGGATGTCTCTCTTTGAAGAGGACGAATTACCACCTGGAAGGTCATCTCTCCCCTGACTGCATGCAGGGCATTGAAAACACTGGTTCTAACAAGACATTTTAATCTGCAGATATCCAGATTTAAGAGAGCCTTTGTAAAAGGTGACTCCAGGAGAGCCTCAAATGACAATGATTGGAAGAGTGAAACGGGAATGAGAGGTAGCACAAGGCCAGTGTCATAAGGAGAACAAAGCAGGGACCTCTCATTCCGGTTTCTCCACCTAACCCAAAGATCCTCACCTCAACACGCTATACCCTACACAACAAACTCTTCCTGTCATTGCATTTAACTGGGCTTTTTCTTCTACGCAAGATGCTCATTTGGGGCTAGCCCACATCCCCTTCTTTATTCTGTGCACAGCTTCAAACCCGAGTAGAAAAAACAGATCACTCATCAAGGACACGAAACCAGATGGGTGCTGGAGGGGCTTGTTTGTTTATTTTGCAGCAAGCAACTAATTGATTGCTTGCTCAAGCAAAGAAATGAGATAGTGATGTTTTCACTTTGTTTGCAGTGACATTACCTCCGAGGAAACTCAATCCAGACTTGGCCACACTCCCTGGTATTTCTTCACCCTCCTTCCTCCCCCCTGCGTCGTTTTTAACACCCTTCATGAAATCCAAAGGTTAAAAGGTCCACAAAAAAAACACCCATGTTATCTGTCAAGCATCCCCTGTGGCTGGAGATTGGCGGCATTATTTTAGCAGCCGTCCCTATTGCTCTCATCTCCTACTCAGCACGACCAGCGGTCCCGGTGGGAGAGTTTCCCAGCGTGGTAGAAGTTAATGCTAGAAACTCCATGAAGTGGCTCATGTGAGCACTCAAGTGTGTGCTTTTCCTTGGGTATCAATGAGGGGAAGATAAAAAGAGAGCCTAAATCATGCATATTTTGGAAAGAAGATGGAGACATATTGTTAGCACAAGCCCCTAGTACACACACACTTGAAATCAATGAATGCCCGGAGAGACGCAGCGCTCGCTGCTCTTTAAACAGCTTCACAGCATGCCTCACATAGCAATAACTGGGGAGGAGAACAGCAATGCCTACAAAAGCTTTAAAAACACAGAGAGAGATAGGCAGGTACTTACATCCATTTTATCCCATAGCAAAGCCCCGTCTGCAGAATCAAGGACAGAAAACCAGCTAAGAAAAATCGTGGATTCGGCTTCATTTTCTCCACTTTCCCCCACTTGATGAAGGAAATCGGCTTCTCCAAAGGAAAAAGAATAACACAAAAAAGGGGTTTTCCTGATTTTCTGCACAACGTATTTCCCTTCAGTTTGGGTGTTGCTCGTCCTTGGGCATTGAACAACCTGAAAGGAGAGAGAAAGAACACGAGCCACGGTTAGCTCCGAGGCTGAGCGAGCCGTCGCAAGAGAGAGCTCTATTATCCCAATTGCAAAGGAGTGGTTTATGAATCACGAAGAGTTTGGATTCTCCCCTCTCAGTCCCCTCCCTCGCCAAGCCTTGATAGAACCTTCCGAGTCAACAGACAGACAAACCGTATGGCTTGAATTACACCCTGAGTTATGGTCTGATTGTGTGTTTCCATTTAACCCTGCACATGGCAAGGCTTTATTCACTGCTTCAGGTTTTCTATTCCCCCCTCTCTCTCCAAAAGGTTTGTGTAAAAAAAGAAAAGAAGATAAATCCTTAAACGAGCCCAAATTCATCTCTCTGGATTTCCCTCTTCATTCCTCTCCCTTCTTTTCCTGCAGAGAAGACAAATGATGGGAGCAGCACGGCCCAACTCAACGCAGGTGCCCGTGCCCTGCAGATGTTTCGGTCTGATCTGTTACAACAAAATGCCTTTTGCTCTTTTCCCTTCTGCTTTCCTTCTCACCTCATTAACTCTGCCTCTCACTCCTTCCAAGTCCTCGGGCACCTGGAGCTCACGGAAAAGGCTGCAACTCCGTAAACATGAAATCACGTTTCTGTCTCTAGGGAGCATCCAGGAGGACACAAAAGCTCCCAAGGATCCTTCCTCCCTCTGCCTTTTACTGTTGTTGTTCCCTTCGTCAGCCCAAACACACAAACAAACCAGGTGCAGGGCTTAAACTCTTAGAGAAGGGTTCCTCTGTGTCTCCAGGGCACTGCTTGCTTATTTTAGCAGGGGTATTAATAGCAGTAAATGGGTTTCCCTTCACTTATTCACTTCAGACACCGCTCCAGGCTGCTCTTTGTGGTCTTTGCGGTGATTTCCCACCCCAGCTGAAAGCCAATACTAAAATAAACAGAAAACCCTGCCTGCCACATTGCGCCTCGGGAGTCGCACTGCATGCTGGCATCCCCCCTCATTGCACCCTCAGAGGGGTTCGGGTTAGGACTGGGAATGGCTGGATCAGTCGGCATCACTTCGGCAAACCCCTTACCCTGGGAAAAGCACATCCCACCTGACCCCAAGCTTGGGATTTGTCCCATATGCAGCTTTCTGCCCCAATAGCTCAACTTTGGGAGCAATTGGGTTGGGGGAAGGCGTACTTTGGGGTGTTTTCTCTGCTATCTGCAGTGTATTTTTCCATTCAGGCTCATTTTTGGCTACCCAAATCCCAGCGCCTGGTGTAAAGGGTTACTAGAGAAGTGCTGTTATTACAAAGGATTTTAATAACCTCTAGGGGCAAGTTCCCTGTTCCCTTGAAGTCCGAGACAAAACTGAACTGACTACAAGGGAGGCAGGATTTCATCACTATGGGTTGTTTTTCCTTAATGCCTGCTTGGATTTGGGTTCAATGTGTCCCTTGGAGGCAGCGCTCCCGCGAGCATTCAGGCATACTCCTTGTTTCAGGGTATTTCTATATCTCTTAATCTCTGCAAGCTCTTTTCTTCCCACCCCTCCATGAGCACACTGGAAACCTTCAGCCCTTAATCCTGCCCATGCCTTTTAGTGTCCATTTAGATATTTCAGACCCCTTATCTCCCTCTGCTGAATTGCTGAACAGCACAAGAGTCGGGTGTAAAATGTCTCAGATGCTCTAAAACCCTCTCGCTAACCCTGACCAGACAACATCACCCTCTGCTTTACCCCCTACCTTAAAGAAAACACTCTGGAGGATGTTTCCGACCCCCAGGGAGGAATAGAAGTGATGTACCCCCCCTATGCCCATTCTAAGAGCTGCAAGCTTGGCCTGCAATCGCACCCCTGTTACTTGGGGAGGTAATAATGCCTTTTTCCACTCAGCCCAGCACAGGTTACGTTTGCAAGAGGAATTTGCAAGGGGAGGGGAAGGAGACTCTTAGGGGCAGACGTGATGTTTACAGCTCTGGAGAGCTCTGGGTCACTGATCAAACCGGCAGCAAGTGGCCTGTGGGCTCCTAAAAACTGGAGCTGGTTTTAGCTCAATGCTCTCTTTTCTCTTTACCCGAGGCTGTCTGCAGCCAGCCCCACTCCCGTGCACTGAGAACGCTCCCATCCAACACCTCCAAGAGTCTGATCCCAAAGATAGGAATAGGCAATATGAATTACATAGAAATGTGTGCGTATCCATCCCATTTTTCCAGCTTTCCCACCCAAGAAGGAAAGATTCACCTGAACCTGGTGCCAGCCTCCAGTTCTCCCCCAGGTGTAGCACATCCCCAGTTGACCTGCAGCAAGGATGGGGAGCTGGGACAAGCTGATTCCAGCCCCCGGGTCTTCCCTCCCTGTGCAGCCTTTCCTCTCCTTTGCAGCTCCCTTCTCCATTGCAACCCCCATGTGTCCCTTGCACCCTCTCCCTTGCAGCCCCTGCATTTTAGGTATCCCCATACCCTTCTCCATCTTCCACCTCTCTCTCAGGCTCCAGCTCTCCCCTCTCACTTCAACCCTCAGATGGGACCTTTGCAGCCCCTCTCCCATGCAGCACATCCATCTCAGGTCTCTCTATACATTGTGGGTCTCTTTCTCCCTTGCAGCCCTTAGGTCCCCCCTTTCTCCTGCACCCCAAAAGGTCCCAAGTTTCTGAGTCTCCTCCCTCCCTTCACCCCCCTGCTGTCCTCTCTCCCTGTATCCCCCTGGGGTCTCCCTTCTCCCTTGCAGCCCTCAAACCTCCTCAATCCGTGCATCTCCCCGGGTCTCCCTTTTCCTTTGCAGCCTCCAAGACTCACCTTTCCCTGCATTCCCCTGGGTCTCCCTTCTCTCTACATCCTCCCTCTGCAGGGTCTCCCCTCTCCTTTGCAGCCTCCAAACCTCCTATACCCCTATATCCCCTTGAGTCTCCTCTTTCCTTTGCAGCCTCCAAGATTCACTTTTCCCCGTATCCCACCGGGTCTCATTAATCCCTGCACCTCCCTCCCGAGGTCTCCCATCTCCCTTGCAACCTCCAAGCCACCCCCCCCCCCCCCCAGTCTCTTTGCCCTCCTCTTGGCCACCCCTTCAGCGTTTCGGGGTGCTCCATCCGGTCACTCCCCGCTCCCCCATACCCCAGCAGCGGCTCGTACCCCGCTTACCTGCACCCGTGCCGGGGCTGCGCGGGGTCCGGACCGGCTCTGGCGGGGCAGCCCGCGGAGCCTCCTTATATGCGGCCCCCTCGGCTTTGATATGCGGCGTGATGTCAGCCCGGATTAGCATAACAAAGGGCTCCGCGCCCCGCGCATCCCCCCGCGGGCAGGGCAGGGGCTCCGCTGGGCTTGAGTTATCCCCCCTTGGGGATCGTTTTCCCCCCTCCCTCCCCTCTGCCCCACCGAGGGGCCGGGAGCCGGTGCCGCAAGTGCTACGGGCGTTATTGTAATGAGCGGTTAATGATTAGCAGCAGAAATCGCTCGTTCGTGTGGTCACCGGAAACTTTCCGCCGTTACCTCTCCCGAGGGCGCTCAGCGCTTTGCTGCGCTCCGCAATTACAGCACAAAGATAGTTTTCATGCCGTCAGGTGGATTTCCTTCTCCGGGCATTGAGGAAATCAGTGCCCGGCACTGCCCCCGCGGGGTGCGGGTACTCGTCCTGCCGAGCCGGGTCCTGCCGCAGCCTTCGGGGTCCTCAGCCTCCTGCTCTTTGATCTGGCTTTAAAGCGGTGGGATAGCTCAGATGTTGAGATCGGGGGTTTGATTTCACGGCAGGGTTGGGGATGCGGGTTGCATGGTAGAGGAAAAGGATGAAAAAGATAGAATTAAGAAAAAAAAAAAAAGAAGAAATGGAAATAAAAATGAGACAGAGAAAATGAGGAAGAGAAAAAAAGGAAAAAAAGGAGAAAATTAAAAGGAAAAGGGGAAAAAGGAAAAGGTGAAAAAGGAGGAAATGAAAAGGAAAAGAAAAAGAGATTAAAAAAAAAAGAAAAATAGAAAAGGGAAAGAGAAAAATGAGAGAAAAGATAAAAATGAGAAAAGGAAAAGAAAAAAGAGAAGATAAAAAAGGAAAATGAAGAGGGGAAAAAATGAAAAGAAAGGGAATAAAGAAAAAGGAAAAGGAGAAAGAAATGAAAAAAGGAAAAGGAGAAATTAAAAAGGAAAAGAAAAAGAAAAATAGAAGAAAAGGAAAAGCAAAAGTACAAAAGGGAACAGGAAAATTAAAAATTGGAAAAGGAAATGGACAGGAGGAAAGGAGAAAATACAAAGGAAAAGGAGAAAGGGAAAAAGAGGAAAAGATAAAGAGAAAAGAAAAAGAAAAGGAAAAAGAAAGGTTAAGAAAAAATACCCTTAAGAAAGCAAAGCACAGCTGGCTCCTCAGCCTCAAACCTCATGAGCCTGTGTCAGCTGTGGACTGCACTAACGGGTGCTGGTTGCGAAAGCACCGGTGTCATTTTGACCACTGAGTGTAACTGTGACTGTCAGGTGGAAGGAAAGAGCAGAATAAATGCTTTAGTCCCAGGACCAGAGACCCAGAATACATTTCCTAAAGGTCTATTTTGGGAACAGCTATTTATACAGCATCATATGTTTATGTGTGTGTCCCTGTGCCGGAAAGATCGTGTTCATATACACAGGTCGCTAATGGGCTTTCCTATGTGAACAGCAAAGAACGCTGTACACACAACCCCAAGCTCCCCAAGGCACTATATTCCTTATTTAAGACCCGGTTTTGCCAGCAGCTTTGCACAGTGTGTCCATTTTTCTATGTGTGACAGCTGCCCATAAGTGCTCAGACTGCTACAAACCCCCATTTCCACCCCAGTGCCCCCCAGATACATGTACCTACAAGGAGGAGGTTTTGTCAGGGTTCTCCAAGGAGGACTTATTTACACTGCCTGGAATATCAATTGCGGTCCAAATGCCCTGATTTCTATACAAACAGCCTTTTTCCATATTACCTTAATCTTTAAAAGGGCTGCTGGGGAAATGTGGTTGTTATTAATCAATAGGAGCAGAAGTAGTGAGTAGCGGTAGTCATAATAGTCATGATCTTGCAGGAGGCACCTGCTGTGCTTGGAGCTGTGCAGACACAACACACCAAGGCAAGTCCTACCACCAGCCCTCCATGGTCTAAATACAAAGGCTATGAGCTGAATGGCCCAAAACGATGGTGTGGAGGAGGAACATGGAAAGGAGAAGATGGTTCTGCATGGTTGTCTTGAGCTCTAATGGTTTGTTAAGGTTTCTTTTGAGAGGACAACATGCTGGGGAACCATAAATAATGGTGCTAGGAGCAGAACTATCTGCTTGTCCACAGTGTTCATCCAGACAGAAGGACGTAGCAGGCAGAAGCCAAAAGGTGGGATAAAGAGTAAGAAACCAGAAAGCTAGTGAGAAAGGATGTATACATGAAGGATAGCACCACAGAATCATAGAATGGTTAGGGTTGGGAAAGACCTTTAGATCATCTGTGTTCTGGACTAACCCCATGTGTATAGTGGTTATTCAGGAAGAGCTTTAGGAACTGTAAAACCAACCAAAACCTTTAATCTGAGACAATTTTGCACAAAGAGAAGCCCCCCCCCAGGCCCTGTGCTATGAAATTTCAGCACATGTTCAATTCCTTTTAATTTCTATGTGACCCTGTGTGCTTTAAATGCTTCAATGAATCAGGACTGCCACAGCAGGAACACCGCAGATCTTTGTCTCCTGCACCTCATGCACACAGTGGCGCCCGGTGGCAAAGCAAAGATGCTTTTGGGGCACCTGGAAAGTGAGGAGATACATATGGGGTTTCATTTCTAGCAATCATTACCTTTCGCACTGCTTCTATGAGTCAAAGCTATAGCAGTTTTCACCATTAGAAGATAACTTGAGTCACCATATTCCAGGCTTTCTCATGAAAGAGAATTCACCACATCAGTGTGGCAATAAATAAATCAGAGCTGGGTTTCCAAATGCATTTAACCCTGGGGATACAAGTGGTTGCTGAGCAAACAACCCTTTTTGGCTTTGCAGCTCCATGTCCCTCTTGTGCCTCTGCCCCAGAGCTGGATCAGGGCTGCAGGGGGGGTCTCCCCTTCACACAGCAGAGGGGCAGGATCCCCTTCCTGAGCTGCTGCTCACGCTCTGGGGGTGCACCCAGCACACGGGGGGGTTCTGGGCTCAAGCGCTCACTGAAGCCGGGTCATGGGGAGCTTCTCCTCACCCAGCACCCCAAGTCCTTCTCCTCAACCTGCTCCATCCCATCTCCCCCATCCTGTGTTTGTGCTGGGATTGCCCTGACCCAAGGGCAGGACCTTGCCCTTGGCCTGGTTGAGCTCCATGAGGTTCACACGGTCCCACCTCTCCAACGTGCCCAGGTCCCTCTGGATCCCATCCCTTCCCTCCAGTGGGATGACATGCTGAGGGCTCATACTGCATCCCTAAACCCACAGGCCCACCCATGCTGTTTCAGTAGCATCATTTATCAGTCATTTCTATGCATGTGTCTCCTCACCCTTTCTTCTACTTCCATCCTGCCTACAGGAGAAGGCCCTCTACGGATGACTCAGGATAACATTAAACATATGCAGAACCGGGACTGAAGCATAAACTCTCCTGGAGCAGGCGGCTGTGCTCCTTTATTTAACAAATCTCTATAGAGCTGTGCCAAGTCGTGGCACTCTGCAAATATTTATCAATATGACATAGTTATGTGCACTGTGGGCTGTGGTATTAGGGTTTTATCAGTGAGTTTCAAGATGCTGTGAGCTATGAATGAGCTATGAAAGCCATCACACCCGCAGAGGGGTTAGGATAGCACTTCACCCAGTGTCGGGGTGTGCTCTGCATGTGAAGCTCAAAGGAGCCATTGATAAATGTCCCGGAGGGGGGGGTTAAACCATAGAGCTGGGAATGGTGGCTGGAAGGTTCCATATGGCAGCACAGCCAGGGACAGGATGCAATTCCTCCCTTTTAAACAAGTATTCTGGCCATCTTCAGACATAGGCTTCAGCTATAAATAGAGATAACTTCAGGCTAATGGTCATTTACCAGTCTGGCTCACAACCAGCATGGGAAACTGAGCTCTGGTACCCAAAACAGGATGATCACATCCACACATTCGGAAATATCTACCTTAATTCCCCCAAGCCCTGCCAGATTTTACTGAGCAATGCCTATTAATGATGAATTAGATGTCAGTGACAGGTCTGTGCTCTTGACCCTGTTCAGTTACTGGTTTCACACAATCCCAGACTGGTTTGTGTTGAGGGGACCTTAAAGCTCCTCCAGTTCCAACCCCTGCCACGGGCAGGGACCCCTTCCACTGGAGCAGCTTGCTCCAAGCCCCTGTGTCCAACCTGGCCTTGAACACTGCCAGGGATGGGGCAGCCACAGCTTCTCTGGGCACCCTGTGCCAGCGCCTCAGCGCCCTCACAGGGAAGAGCTTCTGCCTAAGAGCTCAGCTCAGTCTCCCCTCGGGCAGGTTCAAGCCATTCCCCTTGGCCTGGCCCTACAGGCCCTTGTCCCAAGCCTCTCTCCAGCTTTCCTGCAGCCCCTTTAGGGAGGAGCAATGTGTGAGCATCTATCACATCACTGCTGTGCCTGTGGAGGGGATGCAGCTGCAGTTACACCTGGGTGGTACACGGCAACTCTGAGGGAAATGATGGAAATGGGGTTTTTGTCCCAAGAAGGTGCAGTCAGAGGGAGGTGAATGCTCTGTGGTTCTTGTAGAGCCTGAACCGTGGTGACAGAGGCCAGATCTTACAGAGCTCATAGACAAACTCCTTTGTAGCTATAGCATGGACAGCTTTAAAAGGGGATGAGGCCACAGTTTATCCTCCTCTGGCATGCAAAGCCATCCCTATAAAGCAGCAAGATTGCAGCAACCTGAGATTTCTCCCCCACCAGACACCTTACAGAAGATTACAGCATTTTCCAGGGTAAAATGCAAGCCTGCAGCCTCACAGCTCTGCTTTATTCTGCCCCTTTCCTCCTCCTACCCTGCCGTTAAGTAACAGAGATTTTCGTGCACTAACACCCTGCTTACCTGCCTGTAAAGGGATTGCATTCAGACCCACAGCCACAGCTCATTTTCCCTATATTTCAGTGCTGTTTGTCTCCCTCACCTTGTCTTTAATACCGTCACTCATCACCTATGCTGCAGGAGTGCCCAGTCCCTGCCCAGTCCAAGCCACGGCAGTGGCCAGCTCTGGTCCCACTGCACCAGCCCAGTTCCCATCACCATCCAAAGGAAAACCAAAGCAGAGCTTCATGACTCTTGCACCATTTGGCTGCAGACCATGCGAGCCTGACTGGGACTGAGCAGAACACGCTTCCCTTCCGGACCAAAGGTCCCACCCCTACCCCAATGCTGCCTTTAAAAGGCCTCTATCCTAATAAAAACCAGCTGTCAGCTCCTCTCTCCAAAGCTGAAGGATCCCTTCAGGGTGGGGTAGTGCTTTCTCTTCCCTATGAAGCCCAGTAACCCCTGCTTTGCTACGGTGCTGTGAGACC